ACCCCCCACGAACACACAATCAAAATGTTATCTTTCAATTATCTTTACTTTCCCGCACTTTACTTTCAATTTCCTTAGTTGTAGTTATCTATGTTCCAAGCACAGTTCTGTAATATGGTGTCAATGGAGTTCGGATGCCGCCAATCAATAGTTGGACGGGTCTATCTGAATTGTTTATAAAGTTTGAAGTTCTTGTTGATCGAATCTTGTCATGGATTGAATTTGTGTTGCTAATCAAAACAAATGAGTTCTTTGTTCACTCCTGGATATCTCTTGTCCGGAGTCGCCACAGAATCAGGTCTCCTCTCATTAAAAATTGAATAACAACTTTCGATGAATTATATTTCGTCACGGACACAATTCCAGCAAAACACATTCATTTTGTTTAGGTTAGATAGCTTTTGCTTGATTCCCTGGAATCCGTACTCAATTTTTAGTTGGTTGAACGTTTATAAACTGTGTAGTCTCTAACTTGGAACCTTGTATCCTAGCCATGCTGGTCATACTTACACTCATAAAACTCTTCAAGCTGCATATGGATATTTGCATCCTATGTTCCTCAGCGATCACCCATAGGCGAGGGCCGGCGAGGTCGACCTTGCCAACTCAGCGATGTTGAGCCTCACCCACCCCTGACGAGGCTCGACCTCACTGGCCCTCGCCTCCGGCCAATCACTAAACAAAAAAGAAAGATAAAGAAAAGGAAAATAAATAAATAAATAAATAATTCAAAAAATTATAAAAATATTATTTAAAAATGTTCACGTCAACATTGACCACGTCACGTAGAACAGCTGATGTCCATACCAGTGATTTCTAGCCAAAATTGGCCGAATAGACTGAATTAGCACAAATACAAAAGGTTTAGGACTCAATGGCAAAAAAAAGTTTAATACTGAATTGACACAATTGTAATATATTTAGAACTTTTTTGGCAATTTTCCCGTTAGATTGGAGGAAAATTAGAAAATAACTGGGTGGGATGATCTCTCGTTCCATTTGAGAAAAAAAAAGGACAAAAATTCCCGTCTTTGGTAGATTTGTGAAAACTGTGGTAAGTTTCACATTTTTTTAATTAAAAAAGTTGCTGGTAAATTGCTTACCCATTAATTTGTTAGTAAGTTACCAACCCTCATATTAAATTGCCAATGTTTATATTATTGTTTACAAATTACCAACTATTCCAATAAGTTGTTAACTTTTATCAGGAAAGCTCATGAAAGTGTTGAAGTTATCAACTTTTATATGAAATTACCAAAATTAATTTGAGTGACTACTGACATTTTTTCCAATGAAGTTGTCAATTAGTTTTAGATAATCAACTTTCATTCGAGCCACTAACCAATAGGTTGGCCAAGTCCCAATTGCTCCCAGCTTCTCAAAAGTCTCATTTCCTTAGAAGCTTTTTCAATTTTGTCCATACGGGAAAATATTAAATTAAATTTTCATGGAAAATTATCTCTCAGGTGTCTGGCACAAGAAGGCTATTTCTTTGTGGTCACCTATAATGAAGGGCATGGCAATTCATGTTGAGTTGCACGTGTGAGTTGTGTTATAAAATCTCATATCGGAGAGTTGGTGTGTTATTGAGCAATTAATAAATCATAGTTGCTTCATAACTCATTGCTTTAAGCTTTTGAGTGAAGATGGGTTCAATTGGATATGTTGACAGACTTGAAGCTGCTCTCTTTGGCGATCTCCCAGATGAAGATATCGGGTTTCTGCTAGTCTCTTTCACTTGTGATAGCTCTTTCCTCCACCTCCATTTCTTTGGCATTGCCATTGACAAGCTTGCGCTCTCTCTCTCTCTTGGCTTCTCCATTTGTGCGGTGGATGGTCTGCTCTGTCGTTCTTCCTCTCCTACTCCATCTTTTGTTGGATGTCCATATTGTCTCAATAATTAAAGAATTGATTTAATTATTGAGGGAAGCAGAACTTTCATGCCACTTCGTAATCTCACCTGCCAACTTTTAATTAGAAAACCCAGTTTGGGTGATTCTGTCATTGAACAATCATGTGAGACATGTCTGTCTGTATGGATCTTTTATATTGTGGTTGTTTTTATCAACTGCATCAACAATGAAATATGACCAATATAAGCATTTATTGTGTTGCGGAAGCAAGCGATCGAATAATAAATAAACAAAATAAGAAAATAAATCGGACGCCAGATTTATGTGATTCGGTTGTAGTAGCATATATTCATGAGAAGAGCAGTAATGAATTTAACTATAGATCAAGTTATACAACGAAAATTACAACCACACTCGAGTCACTCAAATACTCTCAATGTTTTTTAGGCCCCAATAACACCCAATTACATATACCGTGTTTAGCCCACAATTTCTCACGAAATAATTTCTCAATCTCATAAAGGAATTATACACAAATTCGTATCACAAGAATTTAATTGGCTTCAACACACTCGGATATCTTCAGGGTGTAATTTACATGCAGAAGCTCCTCTTTGATACTCTTCACAAAAATATCCACTTCTTATATATAGGCAAAAATTGGATCCAAAGTAGGAAACTTTATTTTAGGAAGCCTGAAACCTATTCAAAATAGTAAATCTACTTGAATTAGAAAACTTTCTTTTTTGGACTCAAACTCGAGACATAATTTCAATATACTGTTTATGTCAATATGAAAAACTAGGTGTATTCATTAGCTTTTGGTGATGCACCAGTCGGCGTCGTTGACTTAGGAGTCCATAAGAAAGTAAAATGGTATTCCTTGTGTGCACGTACAATTGTATGTGAGATGGTTACGTTGATTGATCGTATTATCCAATGATTCAATGGAAGGGATTTAAGTGTGAAGAAAGGTAAAAGTTTATTTTTGAATAAGTAGATGGTTACTCAGCATCATCAAATAAAAGCATTTCCATCAAGGAAATAGGTAAGGTTTAGATTTAAAAAATGCACGAAAAGAAGTAAAATCGCATTGTGAGCATGAGAGAGAGAGAGAGAGAGAGAGAGAGAGAGTTGAATAATGAATAGATTCCAGAAAAGTGATCAAAATTGAAGACTAATATATGGAAGGAAGTAAAAACGAAGTGATGGATTTAATTTAATTTAATTTAAATATAAAAGAGTGCCTTAAATCATATGATGAAAAGTCTTGTGGTGTGGTCTTTTCTTAAACGGTAGAAAAATCTAAAGTAATGTGCTCATTCGATGATGAGAGAGTATTGTAAACAAGTAAACAAATGAATATAGACTTACTCGAACACGAAAGAATTTTTCGTAAAATAGATTGAAACACACTTTTTTTTTATCTAATTATCAAGTTTCATGAAAAAAAAAAAAAAACAAACACACTCACAACACTCTTGAAGGGAATACTATTTCATTAATAGAGTCAACTCTCCACGGGAGGACACAACTTTACCAATTTATTTGGAAGCACACTAGTTCATAATAACAAAAGTACAATGATTTATTGTACGAAAATAATAAAAATTGATTTAAATATTGTATCTTGTGATCATAGAAATTATGTACAAGGTAAGGATAAATTAGAAGATGCAGGCAATGCGGAGCCGGCCATCAATGATGATACCGACCACCACGTCCAATGTGTGAAACGCGATATTGCTCGACTTGGGCAGCTGCAGTTAACTAGGCCACGTTATTCATCGTTCATTTAGCCAAGTCAACTCCCTCCTGCTCGTACAATCACATCTAAATATCAATTCGGCTATTTAAGAAGTATTCCACAATTCAATGAGGCCGAACCCCACGCACCCAGTGACAAACTTGACACGTCACAAACCACAATCCACTCATGGAATGCATTAGCAATCCGTTCGATAGAACTGTAACTGTACCGTGGCGTAACTTTGTTGTGATGCGTGCTATGATTTTTTTATTCGGCAGCGCATGTTTCGAAAGTACAATACCTTGAAATCGAGAGAGATGGCTTCTCAAAAGTTGTTGGGGGTATTGGTGTTGAAACAGTCACATGTTCATTAAATAACTTACAAAAGTCGAAACACTTTTCTATTTCATTATTACCGTGACGGCGTAGGAATTACACCAAATAATCTCTAAACAGTTTTCGACGAGCAACAACTTATCAAGAGTCCCGATTCTCGGACTATTCATCTTAGATGCAGCCAAACTCACTAATTTGTTGGCGTGGTAAAAAATCTGTTACAACTTCTAAGTTACCAAGGCACGGAAGATTGTTGTCCAGGGTCCAATGTACATGTATATTTTTTTCTTTGATGGAGGTCTAACTGCCAGTATATTTCCACGTCTTTTTCGTTTATTTTTTACTGTATATTTCTAAGTTTTTAATCCTCCGTTCAGATCAGAGCAAGTCATGTCACCGTTTGTTATTGGGCCAAAAGGGAAAAAAATAATAAAATAAATTCGCGGTCGGTTTTCTAAGGTTTTCCAAACAGTGGATGAGAAGAGAAGGTGAGACGGAGACGTGTTTTGCATGCAGAATGAGCCTTAAGACCTCGCAGTCTAGATTGATAAGCAATCAAAAATCGAGATTTTATTAGACCAAAACTCCCATTGGCGTTTACCAAGTTGGAATGTAGTTCGCCACGTAAGACTATGGAGACGTAATTTTTTATTTAAATATTCTAATATTTTTCTTCATGCGTAGAGGCAAATAGAGGCTCGAGAGATTTGAACTCATGACCTCCGATTCTGATATAATGTGAAATTTTATGTGATTACTGCTATCTATTTTAAAAATTTAAGCTCATGAATGTGTAATTTATTATATAAAAAATTTCAACACGCGGCGTGAATTTATCTCTTACTTAAGACTTTCTTTGAGACATACAAGTCATGTTGCTCTCAGGTTCGCCTGGGTTGTCCAATAAGACAAAAACGAATTTCGTTGATGTGTGTGAACATCATGTCAACGTTTTCCTGTGTGTATCGTTCGGTGTATATATATGTGTGGGTGTGTAAAGATAAACAATGCGAGAATTCGAAAGTGTGGCATTAAAAACTCGCACACGCAGAGAGAGAGAGAGAGAGAGAGAGAGAGAGAATGGCGGATGCGGGAGGATACAAAATATCATTAGAGTCCACGCCGACATGGGAGGTGGCTCTGGTGTGCTTCACCATTGTGCTGGTTTCTATCATTGTTGAGAGATTTCTTCATCTCGTCGACCAGGTAATAACTCTTGCTTCCAAAGTTCGGAGAGTATCGACCTCTCCTAAAGTCCAACTTCGACATGTCGATCGGGATGCCGACAATTCTCTAACTCAACTTTCCTTGTCAAGTGCAGCTTTTGAAGAAGTGCAATGAGTGGCTCAACGGCGTTTTACAGAAGATCAAAGATGGTGAGGGATCTGTCATTTTTTTTTTGGTGACTGTGTCACAATACTAATGTGCAAGCATATGAATTCTTATTTTTGGGTTTTTGGATTGCAACAATGATGGCAGAGCTGATGTTGCTCGGTTTCATATCGCTGCTCTTAGCGGTGTCCCAAACTACCATAGGGAAGATTTGCGTATCGGAGCAACTCAGCAAAGTCTGGCTTCCCTGCAAGAAGCCCGACTCTCCATCCACTGTCGCCAATTTCACTGCCAGTTCCTTCCCGTCTGGCGCAACACGAGGACGCCGCCTCCTCGCCATGGCTTCTAATACTACTGATTACTGCGGTCAAAAAGTAACTTTACCAAAGCTACTTCTTCTCCTCCTTCTATAACTTTAGAGATCTTAAAAATTTAGAGGCAAGTATGAAAGATTGATATACAAATTTGTATGATAAACTGTAAACAGATATTAATAAGTGGATAGTGTTCTGTGATCGATTAAGAGTCGACCGCATCATTTATTACGCTATTTTTTTATACAAGGCTTTGCACATCTCCAGTGTTAAGAGAGATCCGAAGACTACGACGAGTTGATACGATCTTTCACGGTGAATTTTGGTGCAACTGTTTTTTTCTTTTTTTTCAGGGGAAGGTGGCATTTTTATCCGTTGAAGCAGTCCATCACCTGCACATTTTCATATTTGTGCTGGCCACCTTGCACGTGGTCCTCTGTCTATTCGAAGTACCAGCTATGGTGTGCTATGACATCCCTGTCACTTCAACTATATCTTTCTGTTACTTCTGCGACTTTTACTCCAATATTGTAAAAAGAAATATATTGTCCTTTTTTTTTGGGTCTGGGAAATATATCGTATTTAAGTTTCAAGAGAACATGCAAAAAAATTGTACGTGATTGCACGTGTACATTGTTTGATATTTCAAAAGGTTTCAAGTGTTTTGAGTATTTCATTTCGAAAGTTTTCCAATTTTCACAAACAGTTAAAAGTGAAAAAGTAAAACTTGGCCAAATTATGATAATCACTAAAATATGAGAGTTACCTCTTAGATCAATTTTGTAACGTTATTTTCGTCCTTCCATGCTGTTAGATAATTCAATGGAAGAATTTGAAGATGTATGAAGATGATTCTGACAAAGGTAATGCCGTCGAATTCATCCTCCTCAAACTCAAGCAATGTCGTCAAAGGAAGGAGAGGATGAGTGATCTCACTCACTCAAAATTCTTGTGCCGTCTCCAAAAAATTTTATAATCTGATTGAGGTATTTCTATTCTGTGTGGATCTACAGAACGCAAGAAATCTTATGAAAACCCACCTGGCTTCTTCAAATCTTTGGTAAGTCATTGAGTCTCTTGAAGCTCCCCTTTACTGCAAAACGAGGAAGAGTTTGTAGGCTCTTCCGAAATTGAGTATATCATTACCACCTCAACTGTCATGCAATTTTTGAAATGTTCTGCCATCTAATTTCATTGGATATATATGATTTTCTCTTTTCGAAATTTTTAACTTTGCGTCTTTGTTCACGAAGACTGTATGTTTAAATATATCAAGTTAAGGGTATTTAGAAGCTTGAAATGAGCAATATATATATATATATATATATATATATATATATCGTATAATTGTTATGGAATGCGATATTTATGATTAACTTGAAGGAAGAGTTCTTCGACGAGAGGACCAGCATTGTCTTACATTTTCCTCTTCTGCAGAAAGTAGTTATGCTGAAAGGGACTACTTTTATGTCCCCGGATGAGTACAACGCTGTTCGTGCGAACTTCATGGCGGTACGTATCGGACGTTCTTATTGTGAAATTTTGTCTTGGTCCTCGTTGTACTGTATTTTGCCTTGAAATGGTTAAATTAGCTATCATTTCTGTCGTATCCACAGGCGTGTGATGGGAAAGCTAAAGGGAAAGATTTTCAGAAGCGCATAATGAGGACTTTGCAAAAGGAATTTAAGCAAATGATTGAAATCAGGTACACCGATACCCCCTTTATGCAAAGCTAATTAATTAGGCTTGGGGAGCAACGAATGGAACAGAAAAGAAATGAAATAAGAGAGAAGAAAGTTCTTCCTTTTTTTTTTTCATTTTGCTAGGATGAAATAATGAGTTGCGGGACCACCGCCCTCAGCGGCTGCGCTGGCTTCGGGCTCCCCTCCCCCCACGAAGGGTAAGAGTTCGAATCCAGCGCTGGCGTTAGGGATTCTTAAGCGTGACGTCGTGGTGGTGGGTCCTGCACTAGCGTTACCCCGGGTTTACCTCCTCGGCTGTCGGCCGTGCGGGGGGTTCCCGGGTTACCAAAAAAATAAAAATAAATAATGAGTTGCGGGCCTTACCAAAAAAAATAAAATAATGAGTTGCGGGTTTTAACAAAAGAACGTTATCGGATCAACCAATCTTTCTCCGACATTGCTAAATTCATGAAAAACAATACAATAAGACTTTTCCAGGAAAATAATACTTATAATATCAGCGAATGTTTTAGCTCTTCTTCAGGCACACTAATTTGCATTTTTCTCGACATCGCAGCTGGTACTTGTGGTTATTCGCAGTGATTTTTTTGCTCGTGAATGTAGCCGGTGAGTAACTTGAGCACATAAATGCATAATTATTCCGCATTGCAACATTAGCGACAATTACAAAGTTTGTGACCATTACATTATGTCTTGTGTTTGAGAACCCGATCCAAGTCAAAATTCGAAATCCATATAGGACTTGTGGTTTGACGTCCGAAGAAGCAAGAAAATATTGAAATACTTTCCATGTAAGAGTTGAATTCCTAGTTTGAGTCAGCAAATTATTACGCACTAGAGCAAACAAGAGTAGTTTTAGGGTTCTCTGTGTGTGTAGGTTTTCTGAGTGAACTCTCCGTGGAAGATTGTGAGATCACTTGTGGATTTTGCTTTGGGATGTAAAAAATGGCTGGGAACAAATGAGCAATCGAGCGATTGTAAACTCTATATTCTCTTATTTAATAGTGGATTTCTTTGTAGTTGTCTCTCACCGCAAAATACATACCGATACTCAAACCGAACTACATAAATATCTGGTGTCCTTACAATTATGGTTGACTTATCTGATTATTTCTTCTTCTTGCGGTAGACATATATTGTAAGATTCATTAACTTTCACATTATTTCATAAAAGCAGTTATCCTAGAGCAAAAGAAGCAACTGAGGTGGAGTACTAGTAAAGGGTAGAATACCTGGATCACTCGGTTTTCCTCAAGAATTGGTTTGGCTTAAACTTTTGGGTTGAACATTCTAATATGATATCAGAGTTAGGTTGTACTTTTCGCATCTGTGTCCACCCCATTGGTTAAATTCCACGTGTCATTTCTAATATGGCTTGCACTTGAGAGGGTATGTTAAAATATCTCACATCCTTTGACAACGAGATTTATATGCTTTTTACATACGTGCAGTCTTCCTCCATCTATTGGCTTAAATTTTTTGGTTGGACATTCTAACAATATGAACATTGATTCTTCCTATTCAAAACCAAAAATGCGCATATCAAACTGGTTTTGTCAGGTGTTAGCAGAAAAAGAAGTGACGTTTTTCCACAATCAAAGTTCAAATTTCCGGTTCCAATCACTATTAATCCTGAATGGAGCTTGATCGTATCTTTCTTTTTCTATTTGCCTTTGAGAAGAAAGACATCATTATTCCAATCCATTTCTGGGTACAAATCTTGCAGGATGGCATGTGCTCTTTTGGATATCTTTGATTACGTCGATTGTAAGTAGTGATGAAAACTCTCCTTTTGAGTCTCCATGTCTTACAAATTCCAAATGAATGTTGATGAAAAGATGAGCCTATTTTTGTATCTAATTAGGCGTTCTTGCTAATTTGGCGCAGCTTTGGCTCATTTTCCACTTCAAATTGGAGATTATGATAAGACAACTAGCAAAAAAGGTTGTCGAAAGCCAGAAGGTTGTTGAAATTTCAGATGGCGATTTCTGGCTCGGTGGGCCTCGTCTCGTCAGCATCCTGATTCACTTCGTGCTCTTCGAGAACTCTTTGCAGCTTACTGTCTTCTTCTTTATATTGGTAAGCATAAATAACTCAAATCATCATTATCATTAACAATGTTAAGCAAAGTTTCTAGCATATGGTGAAAATTCCAACTAATGCTTTCTCGGATCTCTATGCAGTTCCAATTTGGTTTTCACTCCTGTATTATGCGAAAGGTTGGTTATGTCGTCCCAAGAATAGCAATAGGGTAAGAGCCACTGCTCATGTCATTTATACCATTATCATTAACAATTAATGATTGAGGCCTAACAATCAATTGGCTTCTGTGGCATTTGTCGCGGTCTCAGAATGCTCGTCCGGGTCTGTTGCGCCTATAGAACATTACCACTATACGCAATTATAAAATCACAGGTGAGTTGAACTTACAACCTATTATGCACTCAAGATTTCATAGTTTTGTTTTCTCTCTGAGTTTAAATCACAGGACTGAAGATGCAAAATGTTTTTCATTTGTCTCAATGAAATTAAGATGAATATGAAGGAGAAGCAATCGGACAAACTGAAAGAAATGTGTCATGATCTTGAGAAAATTATGACGCAGTACAAGGACCAATCGGACAAACGTATAAAAAAGTGTCTTGATGATCTCGATGAAATTAAGATACGGTTGAAGGACAATCAAATGGACAAAGAGGGAGAAATGTGGATCGTGACCTGGATTTCGAAGTTGATTTGTAATAGAAAGAACCGAGGAAAGGAGCCAAACTCACGGGAGGAGTCCACAAATATTGAACCGACCCGAATGGGTTCAAGCGAGGGATCTGTCGGAGAGATAACGGAAGCCGGTGGCGTGAATTTAGTAGAAGACATTGAAGGACAAAATCAACAACCAAGCCCACACCAACATTCCAAATAAATGTGATCATGGATTGATTTAGCCATGGAATTACGAGTTAACTCTTTTATATCAAGGCAAATACTGTCAGGGCGAAATGTAACCGTCACAGATTGCATCTATCTTAGGCAAATGCAAGTAAATAAGGAATACTCATTTCATATAATTGTCTAGTAACAATAGGCAAAAGAACTGCCACTATGCAATAAGATGGGTCAGGTATGTTCCGATAGTATGGACAGCTGAAGTTGGAGGAAGAAAAACACTTTAAATTTGTTCCAGTAGTTGCATTTTGCTCGATCAATTTCAACATGAAGACCCACCTATCTTTCTTGTCAATATCACATTTTCTACATGGTCAATAGGAAATATATAGATGTTACTTTCCAGAATGAAAGAGATTGACACAAGGGACCGGTTATGAGACTAAACGATGATCCAGCGTCTGAAATTGGTCAATCCAAAGCTGTAAATTCATTCCTTCGTGCTCATTAAAAAGGTAAACAAGGCCATGATGACAAAGAAACAATCATATCAATGAGGAAATGTTTTGGGATTATCGCTTAAAAAGGTGAATAAGACCAATGACTCGATTGCGGAAGATTCATTAGATCTTACATGATCTTCTCCACTTCTGCAATTAAACTAAAACGGTGTGAGACATGTTTCAGACTAGAAGCAGCCATCAAACACCAACATGCTTAAATTAGAGATACAGACGCATTCCCACAGCCAAAATCAAAACACGTAGAGCCTATCAAAAGACAATGGAACCTCAGCAGAATCCCAAAAATGATTTTACACATCTGTTTTTTTATTATACATTCACGCCATAATACATCTTTTTTGGCAACATTAATCCTGACGTGAAGATTTTTATTTGGTTTTTAAAGTACTTTGCAATATTTATTTTTTCCCACACCTCCCTTTTTTCAGTATATGTTTTTTTTTTCAATTTTACTACGGGGTACGGATAGAAAAGGAAAACATATTGTTTACCAAGAAAATAATTTTTTGTTTTATGGCTTTAGAAGGAAAGAATTGGTGCGACCATAACCATACCATTTTTAAATTACGGTTATGTGGAATGAGTAAAAAATTAGTTAGCCTATCTCACACTCAGGACTCGAAGAAAATTACCAAAAAAGTCATAAACCTATTGCAATTGTGCTAATTCAGTCCAAAACTTTTTTTTTTGGCCAATTCAGTCCTAAACTTTTTGCATTTGTGTCAATTTAGTCCATTCGGAAAATTTTGGTCGGTCGATGCCGGCCATCTGACAAACGCTGACGTGACAATTTTTAATAATATTTTATTTTATTCAAATTTTTAATATATTTTTTCTTTTTTTTCTTTTTCCTTTTATTTTTTCTATTCTCTTTTCTTCCTTCTTTCTTTTTTTTTTTTCCCATAGTGGGTGGTGAGGCTCGGCAGCCACTAGGTGAGGGAAGCGAAGTCCTCACTGGCCGCCGGCGAGGGTCATGGGCGAAGGTGGCCTCGCCCACAACTGGTGAGGCCATGGCTGCCTTCGCTTGCAGCCCACAGGCCTCGTGCCCAGATTTAGGTGAGGTCGCCTTGCCTACAGCCCCCAGGCCTTGTCGCCAGATCGCGAGGCACAACTGCGGGAGAAGGCGACCATGGCCTCGCCATAGCTAGAATCTAGAACATAGTAATTGAGAAAAAAAGATTTGCGCAATTGATTTAGGATCCATTGTTCTTGATGCAGAATAACGACGATTTTGAACACAAGTGCTTCTCCTCTGTTACCCTTTGTGCGTAGCCATAAATCCTATTTTGTAGTGATTGAGATATGTTGACTTTGTATACCATTCCATTGTTAATAAACGATCTTATCATAGATTTATTTTGGTCTTGAAATTATATAATAATGGAAACAGCAACCCTAGTTGCCATCTCTAGATCTGTTTTACTTGTAAGTTTTACTAGGTGCACCTTATATACTGCTTTTGGGCAATCTTCTCAACAATTCACTAGCTCAATGAGACTACCCCTCACGATTAGGGTTTAGTAATTGTTCTTGTGCATCCGAATTAGAGGAGAGACTTGAGTACTATTTATAGAGTTTTTGGCCACAGATCCTCTCATCACAGGCCGGGTTTTATTCGGCTCACACTAGCCAGTCCCATATTAAATTAATTAAGAATTTTTATATCTTACCTTATTAGACCAAGCCCATAAAACGGTAAAATTATAATCTCAATTAATATAGCCCACATCAGAAAAACTCTTATAGGCTGGCATATCTTCTTGTATAAGTAATTTTGATCACGTAAAATTCTAAAAAAAAAACCAACTTCAAAAAACGAGCAAATCTACCAAAGATAAGAGATACAATGCATACTATATAGTTGCATATATTAAACTATCTACAAGTAAAAGTTTTTAAAAAAATACAAGTAAAAGTCATAGAAGCTCTTTTTCTTCTCCTGTGCACGCATACAAATTCTAGTTTCGGATTGGTAGCTGTCCATCATTTACTTTGCGAAGACGGGCTTTAATATATAAGTTTCACGCAAAAATACTTGAATTAAGGAAAATGAGTTCAAGGATCACCTTTAAATGAGTTCTTGTGGCATGTTTTCCCGAAAGAATCTCCAAGAACGAAAGATTAAATACGCAAAAAAGTGAAAAAAGAAAAAAAAGATCAAGTTTATCTTTGAGGAATTTGACGAAGTGGTCAAATGTCCGGTTTTTTCACGTGATATTTTCACTTTCGAGTCACGTCTTTTGTCCAAAGTACCCTACACTATGGCCGGCACCCCACCAACAATATCTGAAAGGAGTTCTAATTTGGCGATGCACTTAGAAAGGACGGTTTGAAAGTTTTATTAAGGAGTAGTCAAGTCGAAAGTTTAAAGTCCCCGCGCTAATAGAAAAAGGAGAATGATAAGCATCAAACTTAGGACTCAAAACGGAGATATGAATCCATTCCCTGAAAGAGGAGGAAGGGATGATGACCCCTCCCACAAAAGAGAAAACAGAAGAATTATTCCTCAATGACTTCCGGTTCGTTTATAAAGAAATAAAGTCCTACTTTTACATTTTTAGATTTTCCTTATCTCACCCTTCACATGTGCCTGCTAACTCTCTTGTCCACTGCGTGCATGAAAGCTGATACATTTAAATTGGCCTAATTTCCTACAAAATCATAACTTTAGGTTCAATTTTTAATTTTGCCCCGAGCTTTGTTTTTGCCATAAAAAAATCATCAACTTTCATTTTAAGCCCAATACCGCCTAGGGTCCAAACACCAATTTTTTTCAAAATTATCAACATCAGGACCACTTAGAGGTTCATTATCAGATTCTATGCCTTAATCAACACCTCCACTTTCATATGGAATTATAGTAGATATTGATAATTTTGAAAAGAAAAAACTCATGGAAATTTTTGGACGAAGAATTCATAGGGTAAATTTGGAAGTAAAGTGAAATTTTGTGATTTTTTTAGACAAAAAAGTTCGAAGCAGAATTGAGATTAGACTTAAAGGTGGAGGTTTTTTAGAAAATTAAGGCTACCTAAATTTGAGACGGGAAAAAGCTGACGTCAACTCTTGCGTTATAGATTCTAAAAAATGACGTGGGCAAAGGAAATTCCGAAAGTCCATAGCAAGTCATTTTTTAGGCCAAAAAAATCAACAGCTAGCAAATCTTTTTTTAGAGTTTTATTTCCTCCCCGTCCCTCCCAAAGTCAATACTCAATCGCAGTCATCTTTTAGGCCCAAAAAATCGATAGCTGCCAAATTCTTTCTATTAATTCCAGCATTCATTGCCAATACAAAAAAAAAAAAATTATACAAGCGGCTTTACTAACCCATGATTTGTTGGTTAGTGAAAGGGTTGGTGATTAGAACCCTCAAATTAGAGAAGTTTTAACATCAGCTTAGTTTATGTAGACCAAATCATAGGGTCCTCGCTTGGCTATGATTTTGTTCTAAGTAGGTTGAGTCTTTATAAAAAAAAATTCTTAAATTAAGGGTGGGTAATAAGATTACTTGTATAAAGTGTTGTTTATACCGCGGTGTATGATCTGATTTTTTTTTATTTTGACCATATCCAGAAAAGCTACAAAAGTTGATTTATTGAAATTCTTATCAAGAAATGGTGGACTGCTTCACCGTACAAAAAGTTCAGTAACTAAAGTTATTGCAACACACTCTTGACCGCCGAAGCCTAAACAACCACATGAATAATTTTCTTAAGACTATGGAAAGTTTTATTGCATTCTCTATAATTTTCGGTTATGATTTTATAGACATTCTTAAATCGGTCTACTAGTCTTGATCTAAACAGTCGTGAAGCGTTCACATATCTACTTCGTTCATAAAAAAACAAA